TCAAAGATAGCTCGGAGATAGCGCTCACGAGCGCCCGAGGCACGCCCGGCGTGGGTTGCGGCCGCAGCGGGCGCAAAGGCTACAGCGAAGGCGCCGACGGTGGCGTCCTTCAAAAATAGCTCGGAGATAGCGCTCACGAGCGCCCGAGGCACGCCTGGCGTGGGTTGCGGCCGCAGCGGGCGCAAAGGCTACAGCGAAGGCGCCGACTGTGGCGTCCTTCAAAGATAGCTCGGAGATAGCGCTCACGATCGCCCGAGGCACGCCTGGCGTGGGCGGCGGCCGCAGCGGGCGCAAAGGCTACAGCGAAGGCGCCGACTGTGGCGCTCTTCAAAGATAGCTCGGAGATTTTCATCGATAATTTATTTTGATTATATTTATTAGAATAATTTTTTTTTTATTTTTTAATTTTTTTTGATATCTTTTATCATAATAGCGCTCACGAGCCGGCCCTGACGCACGCCTGGCGCGGCCGCGGCCGCAGCGGGCGCAAAGGCTCCGCGAAGGCGCCGACTGTGGCGTCCTTTCAAAGATTGCTCGGGGATAGCGCTACGAGCGCCCGAGGCGCGCCTGCGTGGGCGGCCGCCGCAAAAGACAGAAAAATAAACAAAAAGAGGCGGGCGCAAAGGCTACAGCGAAGGCGCCGACTGTGGCGTCCTTCAAAGATAGCTCGGAGATAGCGCTCACGAGCGCCCCGGGCACGCCTGGCGTGGGCGGCGGCCGCAGCGGGCGCAAAGGCTACAGCGAAGGCGCCGACTGTGGCGTCCTTCAAAGATAGCTCGGAGACAGCGCTGACGAGCGCCCGAGGCACGCCTGGCGTGGGCCGCGGCCGCAGCGGGCGCAAAGGCTACAGCGAAGGCGCCGACTGTGGCGTCCTTCAAAGATAGCTCGGAGATAGCGCTCACGAGCGCCCGAGGCACGCCTGGCGTGGCGGCGGCCGCAGCGGGCGCAAAGGCTACAGCGAAGGCGCCGACTGTGGCGTCCTTCAAAGATAGCTCGGAGATAGCGCTCACGAGCGCCCGAGGCACGCCTGGCGTGGGTTGCGGCCGCAGCGGGGGCAAAGGCTACTCCGAAGGCGCCGACGGTGGCGTCCTTCAAAGATAGCTCGGAGATAGCGCTCACGAGCGCCGAGCACGCCTCGCCGAGCGTGGGCGGCGGACCGCCAGCGGGCCAAGCTTAACAGCGAAGCGCCCGACGTGGCGTCCTTCGGGAGATAAGCTCGAGGATAGCGCTCACGAGCGCCCGAAAGGGTAGCCAACGCCTGGCGGTGGGTGGCCGGCCCGCAGCTGGCCAAAGGCTTACAGCGAATGGCGCCGACTGTGCGTCCTTCAAAGGATACTCGGAGATATCGCTGAAAAAAAAAAACGTAGCGCCCGAGGCCGCCTGGCGTGGCGCGGCCGACAGCGGGCGCAAAAAGCTACAGCGAAAGGGCGCCGAACGGTGGCGTCCTTCAAACTCTTCCGGAGATAGCGCTCACGAGCGCCCGAGGCACGCCTGGCGTGGGTTGGCGTGGCCGCAGCCGCCGGCAAGAACTACAGCGAAGGGCGCCGACTGTGGCGCCCTTCAAAGATAGCTCGGAGATAGCGCTCACGAGCGCCCGAGGCACGCCTGGCGTGGGCGGCGGCCGCGGCGGGCGCAAAGGCTACAGCGAAGGCGCCGACTGTGGCGTCCTTCAAAGATAGCTCGGAGATAGCGCTCGCGAGCGCCCGAGGCACGCCTGGCGTGGGCCGCGGCCGCAGCGGGCACAAAGGCTACAGCGAAGGCGCCGACTGTGGCGTCCTTCAAAGATAGCTCGGAGATAGCGCTGACGAGCGCCCGAGGCGCGCCTGGCGTGGGCGGCGGCCGCAGCGGGCGCAAAGGCTACAGCGAAGGCGCCGACTGTGGCGTCCTTTGAAGATAGCTCGGAGATAGCGCTGACGTGCGCCCGAGGCACGCCTGGCGTGGGCCGCGGCCGCAGCTGGCGCAAAGGCTACAGCGAAGGCGCCGACTGTGGCGTCCTTCAAAGATAGCTCCGAGATAGCGCTCACGAGCGCCCGAGGCACGCCTGGCGTGGGCCGCGGCCGCAGCGGGCGCAAAGGCTACAGCGAAGGCGCCGACTGTGGCGTCCTTCAAAGATAGCTCGGAGATAGCGCTGGCGAGCGCCCGAGGCACGCCTGGCGTGGGCGGCGGCCGCAGCGAGCGCAAGGGCTATAGCGAATGCGCCGTCCGTGGCGCCCTTCAAAGATAGCTCGGAGATAGCGCCCAGAGTGCGCCAGGCGCCGCGCCAGGCGTGGACCGCGGCCGCAGCGGGCGCGGGGGCGAGGCCGAAGGCGCCGTCTGTGGCGCCCTTCAAAGATAGCTCGGAGATAGTGCCCAGAGTGCGCCAGGAGCCACGCCAGGCGTGGACCGCGGCCGCAGCGGGCGCGGGGGCGAGGCCGATGGCGCCGTCTGTGGCGCCCTTCAAAGATAGCTCGGAGATAGCGCCTAGAGTGCGCCAGGCGCCACGCCAGGCGCGGGCCGCGGCCGCAGCGGGCGCGGGGGCGATGCCGAAGGCGCCGTCTGTGGCGTCTTTCAAAGATAGCTCGGAGATAGCGCCCAGAGTGCGCCAGGCGCCACGCCAGGCGTGGGCCGCGGCCGTAGCGAGCGCGGGGGCGAGGCCGAAGGCGCCGTCTGCGGCGCCCTTCAAAGATAGCTCGGAGATAGCGCCCAGAGAGCGCCAGGCGCCACGCCGAACATGGACCGCGGCCGCAGCGGGCGCGGGGGCGAGGCCGAAGGCGCCGTCTGTGGCGTCCTTCAAAGATAGCTCGGAGATAGCGCCCAGAGTGCGCCAAGCGCCACGTCGGGCGTGGGCCGCGGCCGCAGCGGGCGCAGGGGCGAGGCCGAACCTGGCTTCCACAGAGGTCCCCCCAAGCATTTCAAGGGGTCTGCCGTGGAGGTGCTGCCGCAGCCATGCGCGCGCATCGTAGCGAGAGGGTGCCAGACCCACCCCCTCGCGCGCCCCCTCCCGCCTTCCGAAGCTCGCGCCGAAAGCGTCTGCGTCGATGCAATCGCTTCAGCGGGGGCGACCCCAAAGGCGAAACCCAAAGCCGCGGGCGAATGCAACTGCCGTGCGCGTCGCCGTCAGCGAGGAGCCCGACGGCGCAGCCACTCGCTTGAAGCGCAGGGGAACCCATGGGATTGTCACGCCAGCGTCCTTGCAGTGCTGCTTGCCAATGCCGACGGCAAATGCCGGACCCTTGTGGATCTGCTGCGCCAGCGGCAGCCCAACGTCAAAGCTCCACACAGAAGGCGCAAACGGCTGCCTCATCGACGAGGCGACCTGGCGCGCCAGCGCCATGCACCCTGCGCGCGCAATCGCATGGGCGCGCATTGCCACGGCCGCGGCCGCGCGCGCGCTCCCAGCATTCGCAGCCCAGTGTCGCAACCCAGTGCCGACAGCAAAAGCGACAACACATGAGCATGCTGCGCCAGCGGCAGCCCAGCGGCGAAGCTCAACGCCGCCATCGCCAACGGCTGCCTCTTCGACGGGACAACGAGCCGAAGCGCCGCCTACGCCACGCGCCCTGCGCGCGTGCTCACGTGGATGCGCAGCGCCACGGCCGCGTCGGCGATCGCCTGCGCGCGCCACTTCGACAGCCCCCCGCGATAGGTTGGGGGAGAAGCCCTAAACCCTAAAAGGCTTCACTCTGGGTGGTCTGGGGCGGGAGTGCGACTAACCGTGGCGCGCGCGGCTTGGGCAGCGATCCCCCCCAACAACCTTGATGCGGGGGGGATCGCAGCCAGCGCGCGCTTGCGCCAATGCAGGCCCTAAACCCTAAACCCTAAACCCTAAACCCTAAACCCTAAACCCTAAACCCTAAACCCTAAACCCTAAACCCTAAAACCCTAAACCCTAAACCCTAAACCCTAAACCCTAAACCCTAAACCCTAAACCCTAAACCCTAAACCCTAAACCCTAAACCCTAAACTGCAAGCCACGGGCGGTGCAACGTCCGTAGCCCGTGGCGCCTGGCCGAGCGCTCAGCGAGCCTGCCCATACAGCGTGCGCCGCACCGACGAAGCGGCGATAGCCGCTGAGGAGGAATTCGCACGCCGCGCGGTGCATCCCCGTGGTGTTCTCCTAAGAAAAGGAACCCCTAACCCTCAGCCCTAGCAAGCGGGTCCCCCGCGACGGCCTACATCCCCCGGGGCTGCAAACCCTATGAAAATACAGCATTCGGGGCCCCTGGGGCCTTCACAACGTATAGAAATACAGCATGCGGCGCTCCTGGAGCTTTCCAAGCGTTGTCGAACATTTTTACAGGAAGTCTGAAGAATTCACCGTGCGCCACGCATGCGGGCGGCGCCACGCCCTGGGGCTGCAAATCGTATGCAAATACTGCATTCGGCGTTCTTCGGGCTTGCAAACCTTTTGAAAATTCTGAACGCGGCTCTCCTGGGCTTTTCTAAACGTTCTGAAGCGATTCGTCACGAATTCCGGACGCCCGGCTCTAAGCATGCGCTCGCGATGCGAGGGGGCGCCAGACCCGCCCCCTCGCGCTCCCCCTCCCGCCGCTCGCATTCTCTGGGTTCCCGAAGACTTTTGGAACAGATTCTAAGGAAACTTTGATCCTGGGCATCCACTGATATGCAAAGGCATCCCGAAGTGCGAGGGGCGCCACGCCCGCCCCTGCTCCGATACTGCTTGCACCATACCCCATCGTTTTTTGTTATTATGCTCCCGTGCTGTCCGCTCGTAACGTGCATCAAAAGTCTGTCGGGGTCTTCGTGGGTCTTCAGACGTACTCACGAGCCTTCGGCTGTTTTCCAGCTTCTCCGAAGTCTTCGACGCCAGACGGCCTCGGCCTTCTGGCGGCCCTGCTGTGGTATTGTCTCCAAATTCATGTCTTGGCATTTTGCGCTCTCCCGTGCCATCCGATCCCGCCGTGCATCGGCGGTCTTCAGGGTCTTCGCCCGTCGCCTGACATGCTCGCAAGTCTTCGGCGGTCTAACGGATACCCAGGGATCTCCAACGCTCTACACGCTCAGTCTTCGGCAGTCTTCACGAGCCTGCAAACACTCTCGCGGGTCTTCGGCGGTCTCCCGGCTCCTCGGAGATTCTCAGGCCCTGCAACATTCTTGCATCTGATTTTTTCTCAACCCTGCCGCGCAGCGCAAACAACGACTTCAGTCCCGCTCGACAGGTCTGCTGCGTCGCTGCTGCGAGCGGCGCCGGGAAAGGCACGCGTCCGGCCGTGGCGAGCCGCCGCGGTCCGCATCCTGCAATTCCGCCTCTCAGGTTTCAGAAGGCCGGAATGAAGCTCTCCCGTTCTACGTGGCCGCCGATCAAGTAGTCATCCGAAGTGGCAACGCGGCTCAAGGCCGTGTACCCCGCCGCCGGCCTCGGATACCCGTCCAGGTAAATCGTGATGTGAGGAAATTCATCCCCTTGCACCTTGTCTATTGTGCTGGCATACCCCGGGCGGATGGGAAAAAAAATTACAGCAGGGGAGAACAACCAAGGAGAAACACAAAAGGACATGAAAACAAGACGATGAAAACCTAAAGGATATAGGACAAAATAAAAAAACAAACAAAGGAAAAACAGAAAATAAACACCAGAAGAGAAGAGCGGTTCCCCTTGTCCCGATCGGTCCACCTCGAGATCGCCAGGCGGTGGCCCGTTTTGGTGCGCACGCGCAGCATGTCCTCGTCGGCATGATAATTCTCCACCTCGCAGAGCATGCCGTTCACGTAGTCATCCTCTTTGCGCACGTTCTTCGTCAAGTAGACCTTCATCTTCTTGTACACGGGAACTGCGCTTGGAATGGGCCGGCGGTCCGTGCGAAATTTGCCGCCCCAGTAATTCTCCGGATTCAGCTCCACGTCCCCGGGGAGCGTGCCCAGGGGACTCTTCCGGCCGTGCAGAGCAACGATGGCGGCCTCATTCACGGTGGCGGCGCCTTTGCGCGTGCAGGTCACAATCCGCGTCTCCGGGTGCTTCTCGAACAGCGCCTTCAGGTCTGCCGGAGTCGGCGCGCCGATCTTCCAAGCCTTGTGGCCGCGACAGATCTTCTGCAGCGTTTCCTTCGACGGCTTGCTGGTGCGGAGCTGGTCCAGGATGTGCTGGAAGCGTTCCTCCTTGCAGCGCCACGTCTCGCCCAGCTTCACGTGGTAGCAATTCGGGCGAGGCCACGCAGCGCTCTCCCACGGACGCGTCTCTCCAACCCCCGGCAGCTGGTACTTCTCCCCAAGGAAGACCAGCGCGGGCACTTTCTCTGCCACGCTCCACAGTTTGATCAGTCGCTCGAACTGCGGGCAGTCCAAGAGCGACACCTCGTCCACGACGACCAGGTCGTACATGGTCATCAGCGGGAGCGCCTCTGTGATGGGTTGGTTCAGCTTGAACGCCGCATGGCACGTCGCGATCTCTACGCTCTCCAGGTCCTGCAAGACCTGCTTCATGCGACTCGACAGCTGCGCCGTCGGGAGGGCGAACAGGACGCGGGCGCCTCGCTCCTGCGCGCGGCGGATGCAGCACTTTACAACCGTGGTCTTCCCCGTCCCTGGCTTTCCGAGGCATACTATCGGTTTGTTCTTCTGGAAAGCCTCCTCGCGCGCCTCGTCTGCCTCCTCCCAGTTCTCCGAATGATTTGCCTGCAGAGCGCGGTCCACGCTCTCGTTGACCGTCTCCTCGAAGTGCAACTGCTTCCGAAAGAAGGTCACGTCTGGTTGCGCTCCATCGCGCGCCTGCCGGCGGCCCCCGGTCGCGGCGGCCTCGGCGTCCCGCGCGGTTCTCTCGTCGTTCTTGTCCAGGACGCCCGTGAGGCACAGGTCGATGAGCTTCCGCTGCCCGACAATCATGCGGTATACGCTCTCGCTGAACTTCTGGGAGCTCGCCGCGCTTTTCATGTGATCCATGAACTTCCTCTCGTCGACGAACAGCTCGCGGAATTCCTCGGGGACTCTGCTGCGGTCGGCGCAGAGCTTCAGCGCCGCGGCGAGGTGCCGGAACTTCGCCGGCACGAGCTTGTCCACCACGTCGAATCGCAAATCCTCCAAGTCCCGGAATGGCACGTTCATGGCCGCCCATTGCCCGTAGTACCTGTCGTTGAACTCGAAAACCGTGTCCACCGCGACAATCTTCTCGCCTCTCACGACGTAGTCCCGCGCGAACTCCTCCAGCGAGGGGAACTCGGCGGCGCTCGCGCCCGCGCGCACGGACATCTCCTCCATCCACACCAAGAACGGGGCACCCTCGCCGCTCTGCTTGTACTGCTTTCGGAGATCGCTGCGATATCCCGCGGGCGACGGCGGCTCTCCTCCGGGCGTCAACGTGGCGCAGTGATGCTGGTACGCGGCCTCGTATAGAGCCGCCTTGTGGCGAGCTTTCAGCCACCCAGCAATCCCGCCATCGTCGTTCGTCTTCCGCAGCCACTCCAGCAGGCACATCTCCTTGCTCCGCCACTCGCAGGTGGCGTACTTCTCCACCCACGCGGGCGCCTCCGCCATGCCGACGTAAGGAGCTGTCACCGACCTCCACCCTCCGCTGACCGTGGAGATGTCGACCTGGCGGAACTGCGCACCGCAGAGCTGCAGAATCATCTCGGGCTCGTACGGGTGGCACTCGAAGCAGACTCTGCGGGCCACGCTGTCCGCGGACGCCTGGTCATTCATCCACTCGTCGTAGCTCGAGTCCGAGAATTTTGCCACGTACTTCGTGACGTATTGGCAAAAAAAAAAAAAAAAAAAACAAAAAAAAAAAAAAAAAAAAGCAGCAAACCCAACACAGCAGAGCAAGCGACTCCCCATCCGATTTCCACCAGTCCTGTGGATGGGGAACCGCGTCCCATGACGTCCTACACAGATCTTCTCGGAGTCCCCCCGCTTCCTTTTCGGCCTGGAATGCTGGAGTCATCCAATCCCACCAGCCCTCTGGGCGTAGGTGGTCTAGAGCAGATCCTCTTCCACCCCTCCCTCTTCCCCCTTGGGGAGGGGTTTACCCCTCCCCCTACCCCCTCCCCTGGACCTGGACGGGGGGGGCCGCGGGTAGTTAGAGCGTCCCAGATGGCCCAAGACGGCTCCAAGAGCGCCTCAGAGAACCCAAGATGAGCTCCAAGATGGCTCAAGATAGCGCAAGATCGCTCGAGATTGCTCCTAAGATGGTTCCAAGAAGCCCAAAGACGGCCCCAAGATAACTCCAAGTGGCCAAACAGCTCCCCAAGGAGGCCCCGAAGAGGCCAAAATCGTCCCAAAACCTAAGGAAAATCAATGATTTTTGCTTTCTCGCCTTTTCGCTTCCGATGGCCATCCGAGGCCTGGAGATGGTTCCAAGATGGCCCAAGAGGGCCCCAAGAGAGCCCCAAAAGAGCCCCAAGACGGCCCCAAGAGCGCCCAAGAGCACTCCAAGAGCGTTCCAAGAGGGTCCAAGAGGCGATTTTAGGGGCTTCCGAGGGGGGGCGCTAATTAAACCCCCCCTCTTGTTTGATCGATCTCCTCCAAGATGGCCCCAAGAAGCGCCCAGGAAGCCCCAAGAGGTCCCAAGATGGCCCCAAAATGGCCCCAAGAGGCCCCCAAGAGGCCCCCCGGAGGCCCCCAAGAGACCCCCAAGAGGCCCCAAGAGCCCCCCCAGATGCAACCAAGATGCTCCAAGAGGCCTCGGCGAGAATGCCTAATCATTGATTCTACACAGGTTTTAGCCACATGGAGGCCTCTTGGGGGGGGGCACGGATTAAGATGACTCCAAGAGCGTCTGGGAGAGCCCAAAATGACCTCCAAGATGGCTCAAGATATCCCAAGATGTCTCATAATGGCTTCCTCTGTGTGCTGCCCACTTCTCTGATCGAGGCAATTCCTCTGGGCATCGTTTCTGGATGGGCTGGTGGGGATTCGCGAAGCGACAACAATTGTGGATGGGCCGTGGATGTCGCCACCGCCCTCATCGGATGAGGAATCCCCCAAGGTCTGATGCCTCCTGTGCACATTCCTTAACCGACGCCCCCGACGTAATCACAGTCTCTGAGGGGGCGACTTCGCCTGAAAGGTCCAACCAATAATAACAAACTGCTCCTCCTTGTCCTCCTCCATCCTCTAGACTGGACTTCGTCCTGGGACTCCTGACTCCTGGCTCCTCCTCCCTCTCTCTCCTCCTCCTCCTCCTGCTGCTGCTCCTCCTCCTTCGCATAATGATCGTAACTCTCCTCAGCATCATCGTCAACAGCATCATCATAATCAGCATAATCACCATCATGTTCGTAATCCTCATCATCTCCATCGTCATCATCACCATCACCAACACCAACACCAGCATCATCATCAACACAATCAGCGTCACCATAGTCATCAGCAACATCAGCATCATCAGCAATACCATCTTCATATTATCTTCTCCGTCATCATCACCATAATGTTCGTCATCCTCGTCTTCGCCGTGCCCATGAGGGTCTTGCATGAGAGGCCCCAAAAACATGCGAGGAGGAAGGGGCCCCCGCCTGAGAGGCCCCCAACAAACGTCAGGATGAAGAGGCCCCCGCCTGAGAGGCCCAAAAAAAAACGCGAGGAGGAAGAGGCCCCCGCCTGAGAGGTCCCAAAACAACGCGAGGAGGAAGAGGCTACCGCCAGAGAGGCCCCCCAAACAACCGCGCAGAGGAACGCGCCCCCGCCTGAGAGGCCCCAAAAAAACTCTCTTGGGAGGAGGCTGCCGCCTGAGAGCCCCCCCCCCCGCCAAAAAAAAAAAAAAAAAAAAACAGGAGGAGGCCCCCGCCTGAGATGCCCCCAAAAACACCGAAAGAGACCCAATCACCATGCCTCTCATCCCTGCAACTGCCCCCCAAAACAAACCAAAAAACAAAAAAAAAAAAAAAAAAAAAAAAAAAAACGCGCGCGCACACACGCGCGCGCACACACGCACACGCACACGCACACACACACACACACACGCACACACACACACACACACACACGCACACACACACACACACACACGCAAACGCACACGCACACGCACACGCACACACACACACACGCACACACACACACACACACACACACACACACACAGTTCCAAAGGAGATGGCGGCCCTCGTCGATGCATCCGGGGCAGCGACGCCCGTTCCCCCCTGGAACTTTGGGTGTTTTTAATTGTTTGGGACAGTTACAATGATGAGAGGCATGGTGTTTGGGTTTCTTTTGGATTTTTGGTGACCTCTCAGGCGGGAGCCTCCTCCTGTTTGGTGTTTTTTGGGGCCTCCCAGGCGGGGGCCTCCCCCCAAGAGAGTTTTTTGGGTGCCTCTCAGGCGGGGGCCTCCATTTGACTCTGTTTGTTTGGACCTCTCAGGCGGGGGCCTCTTCCCCCTCATGTTTCTTTGGGACCTCTCAGGCGGGGGCCTCTTCCTCATCGCGTTTGTTGGAACCTCCCAAGCGGGGGCATTTTCCTCCTCGCGTCTTTTTGGGGCCTCTCAGGCGGGGGCCTCTTCCTCTTCGCGTTTTGTTTTGGGACCTCTCAGGCGGTAGCCTCTTCCTCTTCGCGTTTTTTTTTGCGCCTCTCAGGCGGGGGCCTCTTCCTCTTCGCGTTGTTTTTGACCTCTCAGGCGAGAGCCGAGTCCTCTCACGCTTCTTCTCCCCCTCCTCCTCCTCCTCCTCCGCCCCCTCCTCATCAACTTCCTTTTGTGTCTGCGTCTTCGCGTGCATGGGCGACAAAGGAGAAGCCAAGAAGAAGTGCGACGATAGCGAGGTAGGTCCCCAAGGGGGGGGGGGTACCATATATATATATATATATATATATGTGTATATATAAATATAAAAAGGCAACAACGTGTGGAACTTATCGTACTTATCATACATTAGGCGCGGTAAGTAACGTAGCGATGGCGATCGCTTGTTCATAGCGATCGTGGTTGTTGATGTGACGCCATTGCTGTTGTAAGTCGAGCGGGCGAGCTTGGCGCTCGTCCTCGCGACGAGAGCGCCCCCCCGATCGCGGTGCTTGCGCGCCGCGCGCCGCTCGCGGGGCCCGCGCGCCATGCCCGCCGCAACCGACGCCGCCCAGGCCAAGGGCGAAAGCGACTGCGACAGCGAGGCGACGCTGAAGCTCGCGGGGCCGAACGATGATAGCTTGCACGCTGCTATGATTGCCGACCTCGGCTTGGGCAGCGGGCAGGCAAGTGGCGCCGCGGCGGGCGGCGCCGAGGGAGGCGGCGCCGCGGCGGGCGGCGCCGAGGGAGGCGACGCAGCGGCTGGCGACGCCGAGGGAGGCGACGCCGCGGCGGCAGGCAGCGCGGGCGGCGCCGCGGCGGCAGGCAGCGCGACGGGCGACGCCGCGGCGACAGGCTGCGCGGGCGATGCCGCGGTCGACGCAGGCAGCGCGGGCGACGCCGCGGCCGCTGCAGGCGTCGTGAGCGACGCCGCGACGCCGCCGACGGCGACGCCGAGTGCGCCCATGAAGGGGGAGCGGCCGCCGAAGAGGCCAAGGAGAAGGCGAAGGCTGCAGATGCGGCGGCCCAGCACGCGGCGAAGGGCAAGGCTAAGGGCAAAGCCATGTCGGCGCCGAAGCCACCGCCCAAGGAGGCCGCAGCCAAGGCGACGGACGCGGCAGCGTCTGTGCCACCCAGGACCAAGTCGGCGAACGCTGCAGCGCATGTGACCAAGGCAGCGGCGGCGAGTGCGGCAGCGCTTGTGCCCCCCAGGACCAGCCGGCGAAAGCTGCAGCGCCTGTGACCACGGCAGCAGTGACGAGCGCGGCAGCGCCTGTACCCAAGGCCGCGGGTAAGGCCATGGCTGGCTACGCGGACATCGGCAAGTGGATCCAGAAGGTGCCAGTCCGACCGCCGCAGGCGGACCCGACTGCTGCGAGTTCGGGGACGGCTACCCCCAGCAAGACGGGGTGGGGCGAGGACTGCCCCTCTCCTCAGTGGTTCGCGGTGGGGAGTTTCGCAGCGCTATCGAGCCCGCAGAGAAGGGGCCGCCTGAGCGACCAGCGCGAGCTGGGCCTGGATGCTGTCGACGACACGTTCCACTGCGATCGGTGCGGCCAACCGTGCGACGTGATGTCGTCGTATCCCATGCGGTACACGAAGAAGGGACAGGTCTTCAAGTGCAAGTTGCGCTCGTCGCGCGGCGCCCAAGTCGCTCGTTGCGAGGAGCGGGGTGCGATGAAGGCGCGGCTGCTGCGTTTCAATGATCACGAGCGGAAGGCCTTCTAAGGCGGCCTGCAGGAATGCGCGAAGAAGTTTGAGCTGCAGAAGCAACTGAGCTTCGCGCTGCAGACGCTCGCGGGGAAGCGGCAGCGGCACGGCAAGAAAAGTGGCTATTACCCATTGACGTGGCACAAGAAACAAGGGTTCCCGCGGCGCCGCATCAAAGCCGCGCGCACGGGCGTCCTTCAACGCCCCGAGCTGGGTAAGTGTTACCGCGTTGAAATACCTGAAATATAGCGCTGGGAGCAACCAGTGGGCAGAATGGTCCAGGAGGAGTCCGCGACGGGCGTCGAAGCGAGCGGCGGCGACGTTGCAGCGGACGGCGACCGCGAGAGCAGCGAGGAGGCCGACGACGTCGACAACGCCGACTTCGAGGAATGCGAAGGGGAGTGCGAAGGCGGCGAGGAGGAGGAGGGCGGCGAACGCGACGAGGTGATCAGTGATTCACCTGCGTCGCCCAGCGGTAGCGATGATGATCACGATCGCTCATCAGAGGGCGGCTCGAGTCGCGAGCCACCGACGCCACCCATCAAGGCAAAGCATCACCGCAAGCACGGCGCCAAGATGGCCCCACTCGAGGACGAGCTGCGCAGCGATGGCGACATCGAACGCAGCAGCACCACGCGCAGAGATAGGAAGCATCGCAAGGACGGCGATGCGAAGGCCAGCATGCACGGCGACAACAAAAAGCCATCGAGCGATGCGATGATCAGAGCAGCACTGGACGTTAGCACTTAGCGCCCCAACGACAAGGCCGCGCGCACGGGCAAGGGCAGAAGCATCAAGGACAAGCGCAAGGACAAGGGCACAGGCAGCAAGGCCGCGCGCCTTGATAAGAGCAGCGCGGGCCGCGCCAAAGACACGCCCACCCGCAAGAGCAGCAAGGGCAAGGCCAAGGGCAACGCCGCTGAGAAGAAGAGAGTCGCCAGCACTAAGGAGAAGAAACAACGCGACGCCGACGCCCATGATTAGGGCAATGCTCACAAGAAGCGCAAGAAGCCGCTCCCAACCAGCAGCGGCAGCGACAGCGACGCCGACAGCGACTCCCCCGAGCTGCCGCCGCCGCATGAGACCGCCCAAGGGAGGAAGACCCGCGAGAAGGCTGAGAGGGAGAGCGCCAATGAGAGGATGGACACGCTGGAGGAGGCGGAGAAGGAGCAGGCAGCCATGACGCTCCTGGCGACGCGGGCGCAGGTGATTATCAAGCAATGCTCGGCCTCCTTCTCATCCTGCAGGCGAAGCTGATGGCCCCGCACCAGAGGCTGGAAAAAGCCATTGAATCCGACGGGTTCGGCAAGCCCCCCATGCCATCAAGGAAAACGCGACCGACAAATTGCAGACGTCGTCGGCCATCTTCAGGGCGAGCTCGAAGATTGCCCCCAGGCGCTGGGGCCCCCCCAAGTTCACTTGGGCGGCGACCGAAGCGCACGACATCGCCAACGCGGCGAATGCACAGGGGGGGTGCTCGCGAGCACGACGTGCAAGAGCATCCAGACCATGAAGTAAACGCGATGCCAGCCAGCGCCACCGGCTTGGCCTTCGCGCAGCCACGCATCGCCGGGGGGTCGTTGCAGGTAGCGACGCTGAAGGCCACGTGGTGCCTTAGCGTCTTTCCCCGCCATGGCCATGGTGGGGGAATTGAGAACGGTGGCGCGCCCTGCCCACCACCGCGCGCACCGCAGCCGCAAGCCTTAGCAGAGGCACAGAAGCCTGCCGTCTGATCCAGGTGCCACGCTCGCCAGCTGCATTATGCTTGAGCTTGCGCAGCCAGAGAGTGCAGCTGCCACCGCCGACGTACACCAGCCACGCGCCTTGTTCCTTGCTGCACATATGCCACCCAGCAAGGAGGCCTTTCCGCGCGGCGCAGCGCATTTGCGCCACGCCGTGCCATGGCGCGGGCGAGGCGCATCGTGACGGAGGGGAACGACGAGGAGGAGGCACATGAGGAGGATCAGGCGCCTCCCCCGCCACCCGCCGCTCGGCGCATCATTTCCGCGCGGCGCAGCGCATTTGCGCAGCGCCGCGTGCCAAATTCCAGGTGCGGGCGAGGCGCGCGGCGACGCGCGTTGCCCCCCTCCCACCGACTGCGCGTTGATCGCGCAGCGGTTGTGGCTTGCAAAAACATAGCGATGATAACAATGTCGGTCGCTGGATGTGGGCGGTGCAGTCGTGGAGGTGGCAGAAGCGGGTGGGCGAGTGACCAAGCGATGACGATCGTTGTGGGGTGGAGAAAGCGATGCTGATCGCTGCGGGAGGGATGGCAGCGATGGCGATCGCTATGGGGAACCTTCCGTCGGAGCTCTTCCGCCCTGCGGCCGCAGCCTTTGCGCGCGCTCGGCAACCCAATCCCCGCTAGCCGCGATGCCCACCTGCTGCCAGCCACGACGAACCATTCGGCAGGAGAGATAGCGCCGCGCACGTCTCGCGACGTCTGTGGGAATCGCATATTATGCAGAACGCCCTGTTGCGAAGGGAATGCTCGGCGAAGCGCCGCGCGTCGGAATCGGCCCCCGAGATCGGGCGCGAGCAATCAACAGACTGAGACCCAATCTTCGGCAAAGATCTGCCGGCAGGGCACATGTTCCGACTTCCTCTACCCGCCTCGGCCGCAGTCCGCGCGACGCCCTTGCGGGACTGAACCGCCCTGCGCTTCCCTCGCGTCGCCCCTCGCTCTCCGCGCGATTCGCCGGAGGCAGGGCCGCCCTCGCCAGAGGCAGAGATTTCTTCTTAGCACAAGACGCCCCGCTGTGGGCTAGTCCGCCGCGCCCCCGCGACGGCCGCGACTGCCCCGCAGTCGCTGCCGACTTCTGCTTGAGACGCTTCCCAAATAGGACATAGAGTGGCGCCCGCGTCGCCCGGCACAGCGCCCCCGATCGCGGCGCATCCCAGATGCTGGGCGCTCGGCTTGCGCCAAAACGGCCATGAGGCAACAGCGCGCTCGATGACGCTGGCGATGATGGCGACAAGGATGACGCTGAGCATGCCGGCGAACGCGCGACCTCACCCTTGCTCATTGTAGCCAGAAAGAAACTAAGCAAATCCATCCCGAAGAAGAAAACATAACCACAGGAAAAGCAAACAGGGCCAAGAGAAAACTCAGCAGGGCCAAAGGAAAACTAAACATAACCACCTAAACATTAAGCACGACCAGGAAAAAGAACCAGGGCCAGGATAAAACTAAACAGGACCACGCGAAGAAGTAAACATGACCGCGAGAAAACTAAGCAGTACCTCGCCACAAAATAAACATGACCACGGAATAGAGAAACAAAACCAAAGGGCAACTAAACATGACCACAGGACAACCAGACAGGACCAGGAGAAAACTAAACAGGACCAGGGTAAAACTAAACAGGACCACCGGAAAACTAAACAGGACCATCGGAGGGGGAAAAAAGAGAGAGAGAGAGAGAGAGAACACACAAAAAACACTGAAGAGGGCCAGGAGAAAACTAAACAAGACCACAGGACAACTAAACAGGACCAAGAGAAAACTAAACATGACCAGGACAAAACTAAGCAGGACCATAGGAAAACTAAACGCGACCATGGGAAAAACTCTACAGTGCGATGAAAACGACTAAACAGAACAATATGAAAACTAAGCAGGACAAAGAAACAACTAAAAAAGACCAGGACAACACTAAACGCGACTACAGGAAAATTAAACAGGACCATCAAAAAAAAAAAAAAAAAAAAAAACTTGGCAAGACCAACAGACAACTAAACAAGACCACGCGACAAGCAGATAGGACCAATAGAAAACTAGACAGGACCAGGACTAAAATAAAACGGACCACGGGGCAACTATGCAGAACCACCCGAACAACTAAGCAAGACAACGAGATAACTAGACAGGACCGCAGGACAACTAAACAGGACCAGGAGACAACTACAGAGGACCAGGCCAAAACTAAACAAGACCACAGGAAAACTAAGCAGGACCATCCGACAACTATACAGGGCCTGGACAAACAAAAAACTAGGCAATACCAAAAGTAAACTAGACAGGACCAACAGAAAACTGAACGGGACCATCCGGGAGGGAAAGAAAAATACTAATAAGAAGAAACACAGGAACACACTTTTTTATGTAAAAAAACTGCGATAAAAGTAAAAAGGACAATCCGGAAAACTAAACAGGACCAGGAGACAACTGAACAGGGCCAAGAGAAAACCAAACAGGAGCGGAAAGAGAGAGAGAGAGAGAGAAAAAAAAAAAAAAAAAAAAAAAAAAAAAAAAAAAAAAAAAAAAAAAACTAAGCAGACCACAAGCTAATAAAACAGACCAGGGAAAAACCACACAGGGCCCCGGGCAAAACCAAAACAGGGCCACAGAAAACTAAACAGAAAGAAGAAAAAAAAAAAGAAGAAAAAAAAAAA